GAAAGAAAGAAAGAAAGAAAGAAAGAAAGAAAGAAAGAAAGAAAGAAGGAAGGAAAAGAAAGATCGCATATGTAACATCATATACCCAAGGACATTTTTTTAACATAAGTGTTTATCCAAGCACTGGCGTTAGTAACATGAAATTTTACTCTCCCGTTTTCCATGTTTTACAATGTACATACAGTATTTACATGATGACTGTGCAGACAAAGACCCTGGGGGCTTGGGAAAAGCTCAGCAGGTAGAGCCCTCACCACACGTGCATGAGGACTGGGGTTTGGATTCCCAGAACCCATAAAAGCCAAGTGGACATAAGGACTACCTTGTAATAGCAGGCTACTGGCAGGGTGGACAAAGACAGGAGACCCCCACAGCAAGCTACCTAGCCAAACTAGATGAATCAGGGAGCTCAGGGTTCAGCAAGAGAGCCTGCCTCAGTAAGTAAGGCGGAGAGGATCAAGGGAGACACCAGATGCTCACCTCAGGCTTCTACATGCTTCTGTGTACACACACACATACACACACACATGCACACACACATTCAAAACAAACAAAAACCATCTTCAATAATTCAAAAACAGACCAGGCTGCAAAGCTTCCAAACTATACAGCAGACTTCAACCCTTGGGTTTCGTACGCTGCCCAGTAGACACCATCTTCATAGCAGTAATATAAAGTGCACAGCCGACTAGTCTTTAGTAACAGGGAGCCAAACAATGATGAGGATGATGGTTCCTTTTGAATTTTAAACCCAACTAATTTGAGCTGTGTGTCAGCTCTGTCTCCTGGGAATCTTCAGTGTGACACCTGAAGAAGACAGAGGCGGCCTTAGCCAAGGCTTCCTGCGTGCTGTGCACACACATATACCTGAACTGCAGCCATTGATTAGCCCCAGTAGTTCCCGCCCCTTTGTCGTTCTGCCTGGGGTAATCACACATTAGACTTTTATACTGGACGATAAATGGAAGGTTTGAAATTGACGTCTGCCTTTTCTACACGTTGACAGTAAGCCCTCGGCCTCCCTTCTTTTCTCTCTAAAATGGCCAGAATGGGGACCTCTTCACAGTATCAAAGGACACCGAAAGAGGAAATGAAATCGCTGATAGGGGTTGTGTTGCCAGACTGAAAGCAGCATGCATAATACTGGGCACGCAGACTTATTACCAAATCCAAAGCTTATGCCACAGCGGTGTGTTTCTCAGGCAGAGGCTGCCTGTCATCTTTGGTCCTGCCCACAACACCTGTAACCACAATGGCCTAACAGGTTGGTTGCTACTTTAAACGGCTGCAGAAAAACAAAAAAAAGCAGGTGTTAGAAGGAAGAAAACAGGATTGCCACCACAAAGATGCATTGTGACAAAAGCAGCCAAAATGTCATCATGTTCTTGGACTTTGTAAGTGAGCTTTAATTTGTCCCATAAACCGTACTGTAACTGAACGATTTTTCAAAATAAACTAAGTGTGACTTCTTTGAAATGTCAGTTCATAGATTCCACTAATCTGCAAATTCTGAACATCTGCAAACTAAGCATTTTAAACTTCTCACAGGCAGAAAAAGAAAAACCCAATAATTAAAATCAAATAAGCTGGGCATGGTGTTTGCATGCTTTTAACCCTAACACCCAGAAGGCAGAGGCAGGTGGCTCTCTGTGAGCTTAAGACCAGCCTAGTCTACATAGTTCAAGGCCGGCCAGGGCTACTTGGTGAGTGTAACATGAGGGGGCCTGTTTGTTGGGGGTTTTCCTGTCCTGCCTGGCCCCCCAGCTGTTTAGTCCCAGAGAAAAATCACACACAGATCTCTGTAAGTTATAATGCTAATTGGCCCATTAGGTCAGGCTACTTACAGACAATTCTCCCGCACCAGGTGAGACTCTATCTCAAAAAACAAACAAAATGCGAATAACTCTTTCTTTTTCAATGAGAGCTAAAATGTAGCCTTTACTCGGAGAAACAGTCACTTTGAACACACAATCACACCCACAGATACGAGCATACACGCGCACCTGCACACACGCACACCGAGTAAGGGGTAGAGCAGCAGAAGGGGCATATCATTGCCTTTGAAATGGCATCTGTCCTAACCTCCGTCCTCACAGATGGAGAGAATTTGGGGTAGAGCGCTGTCGGTTCGTTAGTCCCACTTGGTTTTCTCTGAGTTAGGTTGAATTACACGGTGCCAGGGGCCCATTGGGGGCTCCTCCTTGCTTGGGTTTCTCATTCAGCACCTGGGCCAGCTCGAATTGCCTTGGAGATCAATTCTTCACACTGAAAAGGCGGCTGGCATTGACGGACTCTTACAGTTTGGGTGCCTTGTGGTTTCTCTCACCATATAGAGAGATGAGTTTCCCGTTTCTTTCTTATTCTGAAGGGATTTGGTGGAACTTCTCACAATGAGCTTTGTATAATAATACGCTTTGTCTGTACGGATTTGTTTCCCAACACCGTAAGCTGCTTTTTACACCCCTAAGTGCCATTTGTGAGCTGTGTTTACTGTGGCGTAGGCTTTTGAGTCTTTGTTAGGGACTCCACTGGCGATAGCTTTTGGAACACTCACTTCGCTTACTCCAAAGATGCGGATCAGCCCCAGGAGCAGCTGCTCGGGACTTCCACCACGACGCTGAGATTCCTTCCCAGTAACTTCTCTACATTTCAGTGTTCCCATCTCTAACGTGTTTCCGACTTTAAATACGTCATCGGGCTATTTCTGTAGGGTTTACTGGGAACTTTCAGCCAATTTTGTATACGGAAGCATCCTCCCTTAAAGCAATATTACGTCTTGTGAACATTGAAATGATGCTAATTACTAATGTCTTCTCCTTTGCTTTCAGTTCCGTCAGCACTGTGTCTCACGTAGATGAGCCCAGCCCACGTGATGAAGCCTCTGGCCTTACAGTTCGCATGGAAAACACCTACCAGCTAGGTGTGCTGCCCACGTGCTAAACTTCTAATTCAGTGACCTGTGCTACTTTAGCCGGAGCCCGGTATAGGTCTTCAGGCCTAGATAAGTGACCTTAATTTGAGAGAGTTGGTGGTACGTTAGAGTTACAGTCTTGCTTCCCAAAATCGAAGCAACACTTACTTCCTTTAAGATTAAAAAAAAGAATGGAAAACAGAAAGCGGGGTTTTCCTAAACCTCAAATGAATCTCTGAATACCGTCAGTGTATATAATAGAATAATATATGATTCAGTTCAAGCTCACTGAGTATTTCCAGAAGGAACACGCATGGGTGTGTGAAAGTGATGTACGTTGATGTTGATCCTTCAAAACCAACCAATGTTGTTGACTGTGCAGAGGCAGATGACTATGGTCCCCTGTTGACGGAGATGTTTATCTACTGCCGTTGAGGTCTGGGGTCTTTGAAAACTCAGACTGTCACAGCTGCCCTGTGCTCCCAGGTGGAGTCCCCACCAAGTGTCCTTTCCCACTCCCCATTTCTTCACAGACCTACTTGTTTGCTTTAAGGGTGTGCCTGCCTGTGATTATCTGAATTCACCTATAATTGCCGCCCTACATAAATTCCATAGAGAATTACCAAGGAGCAAAGAAGGACTCTGTGGGCAGGGTAATTCCACCTGTGGCCTGTTAGCCCCAGGAAAATTATAACCCATTACTCTCCCCGGCTAGGCCTGCTAGCCAGTTCTATTCAATGGTCCCAACACTATTGGGGTAAGTAACCCAGCCGCCCTTCCCTCCCTCTCCTCAGCCACACTTCATTTTGAGAAGCTGTAATTACGTAGACAAAAGGAGGACAAACACACTGTAACTTTAGATGCATTTACACGATGGGAATGTCGTTGTGCTGGCTGACTGACACCCCCACTCCAATTCTGCAGGCCCCAGCATTAGTCTGGTAGGATTTCACACTGCTCGCGGTGAACAGTAAATGTTCCTACAATCCAGTTCACTTTAGTGGTGAACCTAACTCCAAATGCTGGCCTTTAACCCTTTCAGTCAGCAACCTGAGTTTGGGTCAAGTTTTCTCCAACTTGCAACCAAAGTTTCGATCTTTTGTTTTGTTTTAGGGAGCGTTTGTTTGTTTTTGTTTTGTTTTATGAGATGGGTTTTCTCTGTGTATCTCTGGCTGTCCTGGAACTTGCTCTATAGACCAGGGTGTCCTCAAACTCAGGGATCCGTATCTCTGCCTCCTGAGTGTTGGAATTAAAGGTGTGTGCCACCATCATCTGGTTTATGAACCAGAGGTTCTTAATCATTGGCAATCTGTGATTTTGAGTCACAGTGTTCTGAAGACAGGTCTGGAATGCCTTTGCAACAAGGTAAAGAAGTTTAAATGCCAACGTCTCTGTTTCTTTGATTTTGTTTGTTTGTTTCTATACTCTTTAGGCAAACAAAAGTTTCAGAAGTGCTGACCTTCCGATAAAAGTGACCAACTGGCTTTACCCCCACTCTTCTGGCCAGAACTCCATCAAGTTAATAGTTAATCCTTACTAAAGGCCCACTAGTACGTTTCACAGGCAAAATAAACCCAAAAGCAAGAACAATTGGAAATACAGTTTAATTGTTAATAGAGCTGACTGGCTGCTCTGAAAAGCAATGATTTAATCTAGAACAGAAGACTTTTACCGTCGAGGCTGGAGAGATGGCTCCGTGGCTATGCGCTCACCGCCACCGCTAGCATGCCCGCGTCATCTAAACACATCTTAGGTTACGGTGTGTTTGTCCTTTTATCAAAATGATTACAGCTGTCGTAAATGAAGTGAACCATGAATATAGTCCATGGGGGGAAAAAGACTAGGGAAGGGAAGCTGTGCTTCTTAGAGAAAGCACCACTTACCTTTGCTCCCTAACCGCAGAGAGGAGAGGGTGGAAGGAAATCACAGGCTGCGGCGTCCGACCTGAGCCTGAACGCAGGTTTCAAGGATGCCCAGGAAGGTGATAGTTAAGCAGAACATTCTGGACTCTTGGCTGCTTTGTGCGTCAATAACAAGATGGTCTGCAGATCTTAGGGATGCTGTGAGAATCAGTGGGGGCGCTGTCTGTGTGTTGCTTCCCATTCACTGTAACTGTTGCTAAAATGGATGGCTAGGGCCTTCCCAGGGAAAACTAAGCACCAAGACCTCTTGTTTGATTCAGTATGACTCCCAGAAATTATGGACTAGGTTTTGTACACGGCTTTTGCAGGTTCTCAGGTTAAAAGTAGGTAGCAGATTTTTTGAGATGGTGACTATGAGTATCACAATGAAGAGCTTTCAGTTTATTTTTTATGACAATATACTGGACGAAAACAACGTAAGGAAGAAAGGGTTTGTTTGGCTCGTTCATGGTGAGGAAGGCGCAGCAGTAGGGGTCTGCTTGCTCACATCTGGGCAGATCAGGTAGAAAAAGAGGTAACTACGGGTGCTCTGGTGGATTTTTACTGTTCCCCTTTTTATTAAGTCTGGGACAGTAGCCAATGGGGTGGCGGGGTGGCGTCATTCATTCAGCTGGCCATCTTCTTTCCTCTGCTCACCTCCTCCAGGAACACCTTCAGAGACATGCCTAGAGATGCGCTTACCGGGTGAGCCCAAACCCAGGAAAGTTGGCAGTGAAGAGTACCTGCCACAGTAGCCAATTTTTCCACCACACACAAAGACAGCCAACGAAGCCAACATAATGGAAAATATTGATTGGTGGGGGAAGGAGGAGGCGGGTGAGAATGAGGGACAGAGAGAGGGAGGGAGAGAGAAAGACTCTTGGGCTCAGTTTCTGTGAGGGTCTCAAACTCTGTCTCTGGTACCAAGTTTTCTTTGCAATAACCTGTTGATCTCTCAGGGTCCTTCCTGTGTAGGGTCATCAAGCCGTCTACTTATATCCTCTGCCATCTTCCAGCCTTCCCGCCCTGACAAATCCTCTTTCACCCTTCCTTTAGGAAACAACAACCTCAATCACTATCCAAGGAGTGCTTTATGACTTGGTACGCCCTGTCCTAGCTATTTGAAATCTATTTTATCTTCTTAAGTCCTAGCACAAGATAATGTAAAGTAGCTCTTGGTTTTGTTTTGGTCTCAGATAGCTCAGGCTGGCCTCACACTTTCTGCATTACTAAGGGCACCTCGAAGTCCTGATCCTCCAGCCTGCACCTTCCAAGTATAGGATGACAGACTTGTGCCACTAGGCCAAACCCAGAGTAATTCCTGTTATCCCAGTTGGGGGAAGTTGTGGCACAATTTCTTGCTTTCGTTATTCTCCCTTGAATCTAGTTTTTGTTTGTTTTTTGTTTTTTAAGTTATGTTCTCTTTTTTCAGATCTTTTGAAATCTAAAACCTTTTCCTCAAGGGGAAAAAAATGCCTCAAAATGAAGAGGACAGGGTTTGTTGATTGCATTCGTTCTCACTGAAAGTAGCTTGGGGCGCTTGTCTTTCTCTGTCCCTTTGAGGGTCAGGGGCTCCATCTGAGCACAGTGACAGGATTCTGGATGGAAAGGGAAAATACCATTAGGTTATAAAGAATGCGTTTTCGTTACTGTGTAGAAAAATTGTTTTAAAGGTGGAATCGTGTTTGTGAGCCAAAAGGATGTGCAGTGCTCAGTAAGGACTTGGTACAGCAGCCCCTGGGAGCTGCTAGGAACTGGGCTCCATGTATTGCAGATCCTCTTTCTTTGGCTGATGCGTGCCAACTTACTTCTCCCACTGTTGCCTTCCTTCCAGCCTGGAGGAAACGTGCCCTGTGGCAGTTCCTAAAGGTTAGAAACCACCACTTTGCTACAAGCAGGAGGCTGGTTTGCTTTTACGCCTACTTCTGCCATGAAATAAAACGTTTAAGAAAGTGCTTTGGCCAGGCCTACAGCTTTGTCACCCCTGAGCCAATCACCTATGCTCTGTACTTGGGTCCCTAGGTGGAAGTGACAGAGCCTCCGACTCCATGACTACAAGGAGGAGAGCATCCATTTAGAGGGGCGGATGCTGCTTCCATGGGTGAGATGGGGGAGCGCTGTGCTGACCAATATATCTGCACTAGAAGAATTTTCTATTTTCTGAATGCAGCAATGAGGTCAGGTAGGTTAATACAAGGCAGAGCAGGTTCCCTGGGAATAATACTGGTCAAGGTCGTATGGTAAGAGTGCTTGGTGGTCGGAGTGGGGATGAAAAAAGATGGGGTATCTCTCTGAACGACATAATCTATTTAATTTAGTGCAGATTAGTGACACAATTCTTTTCTTTCTTTGTTTGCTTTTTTGTTTTTGTTTTGTGTTTGTTTTTTTTTGAGACAAAGTTCCTCTGTGTAGCTGTGGTGCCTATCCTGGAACTAGCTCTTGTAGATCAGACTGGCCACGAACTCACAGAGACCCACCTGCCTCTGCCTCCTAGGTGCTGGGATTAAAGGCGTGTGCCACCACTGCCTGGCATGGCACAATTTTTAAATATTTATGATATTAGAATGAAAAGTCACCTTCAAATTTGATATCACTCATGAGTATGAAGGTAGAAATCTTTTTAAAGATATTTTATTAATTCTTCAAGAATTTTATCAATCTTTGTATTTTGATCAGCTTAACTGCCAACTCTTTCCCCTAACCTCCTCCCAGATCAACCCCCACCACCAATAACCCACTGACACCAATATGTCCTGTCCATATATACTCCTGGGTGTGAGACCATTCCGTGGAGTACAGTGAAATTCCCTTAGAGAAAATAGGCTGTCCCTCCCCCGAAGATATCAACTGCCCGTAGATCCTCAGTTAAAAGTAGGAACACAATAAAATTCCTATACAAAACCCACAGGAAGGTGACATACAGAAGACCTTAGGGCACATAGAAGCTTGCTGTAGCGGAATTTGTCTCTGATACTCAATCTCTGGCCCCCACAATCAGGAGCAGGACCAGTCATTCGCTGGTTGGTAACTGATTGAGATTTCTGCTGAACAGATATTTTAGCTGTTGGAGTCTTTGTATCACATTTCCTTTTCCTTTACTGTTCCCCACATGATTTCTTTTCCTTCCCTCCTTCCTTCCTCTTTCCCTCCCTCCCTCCTTTCTTTTTTTTTAAATATTTATTTTTTTATTATGTATACAATAGTCTGTCTGCAGGCCAGAAGAGGGCACCAGACCTCATTACAGATGGTTGTGAGCTACCATGTGGTTACCGGGAATTGAACTCGGGACCTTTGGAAGAGCAGACAATGCTCTTAACCTCTGAGCCATCTCTCCAGCCCTCTTTCTTTCTTTCTTTGACAGAGTCTCACACAGCCCAGACTGGTCTCACATTCATTATGCCTCCAAGACTGTCCTGAAATCCTAACCCTGCCTGTCTCCACCTCTCCAGTGCTTAGATTATAGGCATGCACCATCATGTCTGACTTTCCTACCCTGATTTAAATTGAACTAAACAATTCTTATATCATCAGAATAAACATTCTCTTTAATGATCCTCGGGAGACTGACCTCACAGGACTACAGTAATAGCCAGAGACTTCTCTTGAGTAAAGCCAAGGAACCTTCAGGAGGGATGAAAGCGGTATGAGACCTGGGGATTTACCTCCCTGGTGCCGCGCCATGGCCTCCTCTCAGACTGGTCACATCTCTCAGCCAAGGGATGTAGTGCTCTTAAGGGAGTTATTTCCATGCAACCCTTGCGGGATCTAATCTGAGCTCCCTTCTGGAAGCAGGCCTGGGGTGGCATGCTTCCACTGGAGGAGGGGAATGACCCTATTGCTTGTGACTTCCCTGCCTCTCTCAGATATCCCAGAAGAGGACCTTCATTAAATTCGCTTGGAATTGTCCTAACTCTGGTGTACCTTTTCCCCTCAGCCTCTACCTGCCATAGGAACATGAATAAATACTAACAGATAATGTTAACTACTAAAAGAGGATTGGATGGCGTTCTTGATTCAAACTCTTCCTCCTTATTAATTCAACAATAATCCAGCCTCTACCTACCAGGCCAGAGCACGTGTGTCTGCCACGTAGTTGTCTGGGCAGAAACCAGAAGGATGATGTACCTAGTTCCTGGAATACCAGGGTGAAGCTCACTTATCTGAAGCTTTGATCCGAATATGGCTGATATGTGGTTGTGAATATAAATTTTAAATCCCAATAAATCTGAGCATCCATTCCTAGTTCTGTTACTCTGGGATTCTGGACTTCCACCTCCATTTTCCCATCTGTCGGACAAATATAACTGTGAGAGTCCCTTCAAAGATCTCTGAAAGATATCATAAAGTAAACCCATGCTTGTCACAGTCCCCGACACAGAGAATGTGATCAACAAAAAGTAACCTCTATTTGTGCAGTGATTATTATTTAAGTCCACTAAAACCAAGCATTATCCCTAAGCATTGAATTAGACTCTCGGGGGATAAACCCTGTCTTGCTTACATTTCTTTTAAATTTTTGAACAGTTTATTATTTTAATTACATCGACTCCTGTGTATACATTTGTTGACACAAACACACAACTGTGTGGCAGGTAGTCACGTGGAGGTCAGCAGACATCTGGAAGTAGATTCTTTCTTTCCACCTTGTGGGTCTCAGAGATTAAACTCAAACCATCAGACTTGTCCACAAGCACCACACCTTCTAAGCTATCTCCCTGGCCCCGATCTGGCCTCTGTTTCCCTTAGAGAGAATTGCAAGTATGCCTTACCTGCTTTCAGGTAGATTAGGATCCAGGGGACCCGTGTGTGTGGAATAAATGACAAATGTTTGGTGCCTCGGGTGAGACACTAGCTATTTCTTAACGGAGCAGATGGGGAATGGTGGTCCATTTGGAAGAGTAGAGAAGGGTAAAGACACATGAACATCTCTCCATTACAGATGGAGCACACCAGGCGGAAGCAGGATGCACATGGGAAGCTATGGGGGCTGGAACAAGGGCACAGGACCAGTAGGCACACAACTGTAGACCCCATATGGAAAATGTCATTTTAAGATCTGGGTTTTTCCAAGCAAGTTCTCTGGCTGCAGATGATGGACCAGAGTGATGTGGGGTGTAAACACTGAGGGGCCGGGTAGAAGGTGTGAAGGCTTTGAAGTAAGCAGCCACCAGCACTGGCAACTGATGAGGAAGAACTTGCGGAGCGAGGCGCAAAAGAACTCACTGCACTGCTTAGGTGGCCTGGTGAATTCAGAGCTCGCCACCCCCTCATTCTCTCAGAAGAGTATGACCTGAATTCAGACCTCTAACTTCCTTAGCTGGACTTCACCCAGGTCACTAAAGGCCTTCATGTTTCAGTATTCTTTTGTGAACCTATAAGGGAGATGGATATTGTCAGAAATGACTTCTAAAGAAATTCCACGTGTATTTCCAGGTCCCACCAGGCATTTTCCTGTGGCCACTGTCAATCGCATTTTGAAAGATGTACTAACTGCCTATCTACAAGAAGCAGAGTATGACCCAGAGTTCTGCAGAGAGATGACTAAGACAGTTTCTGAGGTACAGTGCAATTTGTCCAGCGTTCGCTAAAACCACAATATTTGCTGAAAGGCAGTCCACTTTCTTCTTTGTGCTGAGGGATTGGTTTTTGAGATCAGTCAAATGGTATACTTCGATTTTATGAAAATAGGTATTAGATCATATACTACATAGGTGTATAGGTACATGTGTATATGGTAAGCTTTTGTCTAAAACCATCATTATGTATGTAATTTGTAGCAAATTTATTGTTGTACAAAACTGTTTCACTTGGTTTTTATTAATTTATTTTATTAATATTTATTTATTTATTATGTATACAATAGTTTCTCTACATGTATGCCTGAAGAGGGCTCCAGGCCTCATTACAGATGGTGTGAACCACCATGTGGTTGACTGGGAATTGAACTCAGGACCTTTGGAAGAGCAGGCAATGCTCTTAACCACTGAGCCATCTCTCCAGCCCCCTCATTTGTTTTTTTTTAAAAAAAATATATTTTAACTTATTTGTGTGTGTGTGTGTGTGTGAGAGACAGAGAGAGAGAGAGAGAGAGAGAGAGAGAGGTGTGTGCAAAGGCTGAAGGGCCAGAAGAGGGCTTCAGACCTCCTAGAGTTGAAGCTACAAGCAGTCATAGCTGCCTAGTATGAGTGCTGAGAACCAAACTGCGAGAGCAGAAAGTGCTCTTAACTGCCGAGCCATCTCTCCAGCTCCACGCCACCTAAACAAATCATCCTGTATGTTTGTATGATGTGTATGTATGGTATGTGTGCATGCTTGCGTGTGTGACTTTGGGCATGGACGTGCCACAGCACACGGAGAGCTCAGAGGACAATCTTGGGTGTAAGTCTTCACTTTCCACCTAGTTGGAGAAAGGGTCTTTTTGTTGTTCAGCACAGCATAAGGCGAGTCAGCCAGGATGGTCCTGTCTCTGCCCCATGTCCCTGTAGGTCTGCTGTAATCCTCAATGCCCACTGCCATCCCGGAATTTTGCTTGGGTCTTGGGGACTTGAACTCGGGTCCTTACACTTGCACAAGTGCTTTCCCATTGAGCCACCACCTCAACCAAAAACCGTTTCGCTTTTAGCACTTATTTTTGGAAAATACACAACATTTTTACAACAGTATCTCGTTGCCACAGCAACTTCTTTGAATGCTATCAATTATACATATTGTGGTCTTTAAATATATTTCTATTTTTATCAACTACAGTGCATTTTATGACAGCTTCTTCTGCTTCAGTTTTTCTAACAAACTCTCCAATAAATACTCAATTCAATTATGTGGCAGGGGAGTTCACAGTATGTTTCCCTCATTAGATTTGAAAACACAAAGTAACCCTGGTTACAACGTTCTTTAAAGGGAAACCATCTTTTAGTCTAGATTTTCATAAGGTGTGACAGTCTCTTGAATTCAGTCCAACGGATGACCAGCTTCCTGTGTATCTTAGAAAATGTCAGCTTATGGCTAATGTTGTCATTTTGTTTCTGGCTTCCTGGTTCCACGAGGACAGTACTTGAAAGGAAGTTAACTTACGGTTCTGTGAGATATTGAAAGTATCTACAATGCACCATGCTGTTTGCTTTAAACAATTTTTCTTTCATATTTTTAAAGTTAGCCTACCTACAAAGTGATGAGGCTCATCATGACTTTTTCACACATGTGTCTCATCACACTCCCCTCTCCCACTGTGCCCCCACCCTCCCTGCCTCCCTCCTCTTGGTCCCCTCCCTCCTTCCCAAATTATCCTTTTATGTTGAACAATTTTGAAAGTTTATGTGACTAAACACCCCCTTTTTTCTTTCTTTTTTTCCTTTTTCTTTCTTTTTTTTTTAAATTTCTAGGTTATTAAAGCCAAGGTCAAAGAACTGATGATTCCCCGGTATAAACTAATTGTGACCGTTTACATAGGACAACGAGATGGTCAGAGCATCCTTATTGGCAGCAGATGCCTCTGGAATCCTAAAAGCGATACCGTGTCGTCCTACGCCCTCAGAAATTCTACTCTCTTTGCTCTGGCAAATGTCTATGCGGTTTACTTTGAGTGACCGACATGAGGCTTACATTCCCGGTGTTTTCCAATCATGAAGCAGGCTGTCAGTCTCTCTTCACGGAAGTTCTACTAGCAACATTTGTGAGAAGGAAACAAGATGAACAGCTGGAACAACTGGAAGCCTCCATCACTCCAGCGAGAACTGGTGGAGGGGAGGGCAGCCCAAGAAAGAACCTTGTTTCTCCAAAAACGCAGTTGAGTGTGGGTCACATAAACATGGATGTTGACTAAATATTACTTTGGGTACTAATTCTTTTGATTTCTCTTTTAGCTGGAGAGATAGAATCCCCTAGATAGCTTGTTGGATAAATTTCTAGAAATATATGGTGACGTTCTGGGTATATATCATATAGGACAGGATAATTTAATATGGCACACAAAAAATGATAAATGTTAATATACTTCAGTACTGCATATGAAATAATACTGGTTTTCATTTTGCATTTAATAAATTGAGCAGCGTTCATTAACTGCAATTACTGTGACATGTACCTGACAGTTGAAAGTGCCGAGGAAGAATTAATGATTTCATAATAATTACCATAGTCCCATGGGGCCACAAACTAAATCTAGACGCTCTTGTGGGTTGCCTGCACTTCACAAAATTGCAGGAGAACTGAACATAGGCTCTTCGATAATGGAAACTATAAAGTGAATACAGGCTTTTAAGGAGACTAAAGTAGACATTATGCTATTAAATATACATGATGCTTAATAGTAAATGTGTCTGCAGTCCCTAAGATCATGCATTGGAAAGGGACACTACCTTTAAATACACACTGTGCATGTGACTCTGAGTACCTTTTTCTGGCCTAAGCTTTACCCAGAACTCAACGCTGGCGGCTTAACAACTAAACCATGTGCGTTTGCCATTTTGTTCCTATGAATCTAGCACTAAAGTGAGCCGGGGAGGTTTCTGAATGTATGGGCATTGAAGTTTACGGGGCTGAAATAGCTCTTAGGCCAGCTAATGCCTCTTGTAGCACGGATCGTTTATTTTTATGGAGCTTTCAAGTCTTTGCATGCATATGAAATGATGCTGTGGCCTTGCTCCGGGATGGCAAGTCATCCGCCTAGAGGACATTCATTAAAGGTCAAACACAAATTGCTCACATATGGAGACAATTCGCAGTGTTGCACTCTTAAGGGGGAAATTACGTGTAATTCGTATCAGAAAGATTTTAACGAACAGAAAACCCAGTCAGTGCTTCACCATTGAACATGTTTTGATATCTTCTTTTTCCCTAAAACCAAATGTAGCTTTAAAATGCATTCCTAGGCTTGTTCTGATAATGCTTTTTTTTTTGGGGGGGGTGTCTATGGAGAATAATGACCCCCAGGACTTGCCTGTCTGCAAACACCAGTTTGGAATCTGGATTTGATTATGTTTCTTTCTCAGTCAAAGGCCATGAAATCACACAGCAGCTTGGTACGCATGAGTCAAATGAAGAAACAGCTTTGCCATCGAGAAAGTCTGCTGCCAACAGGACTTCCTCTCAGGGTTCTAATTTCTAGTTATTAGAATCATTTCTCACCGCCCATTCCAGGTTGTTTAGGCAACTAAAACCTTAAACTACAAAGGCCGTTAAAAAAACGGAACAGGTGGTTTGCAGACCCCTGGTCGTGTGCTGTAACTGAGGTCGGGTAGCGATGGCGCTGTAACTGAGGTCGGGCAACGATGGCCTTTAACGGTCACGGCAGCACACAAAGCCTCGAGATGGGAACATTTCAAAGAAACACCACTGTAAGTTTGAAGAAGTCGTTTTATTTTGAAACAGCCAAGCTTCCCCTCTGTGCATGTCGGCCTTCCAACTCACTCACGGCAGGACACCCTGTCTTCTTTTCAGCAAATACAGCTCTCGCCTTCCCCCGGGTCCTTCTCCATCCCTCTCCTTCCATCCACACCCCCTCCTGGACCACTCTGTTAATCTTTCGACTAGTGTCCAGTTTTTACAGTCTTGTCTCTTTCCTCACCTGCTTGAAGATACAGAGTGCCCAGACCACCTAACAACGACATCTTATTCTTTACCTATAAGCAAGACTCCTGTGCACTGTGCTACCCAACTCCCAACTGTGCAGAAAACAGCCATGCACGACTCAACCCTGGAGGACTAGAGGCCTACAACATGACAACAAGATGCATCTGTAGCCCCAGAACTCCAGAAGTGGAGACAGGAAGATTACGGCGTGGTTACAACATGTTCTCACAAGAAAGTTCCAGAACTTCTGGACCCAATGAAGGAACCTAATTAGGGAAGGCATTGTGAAAGGAAATGATGGCTTCCTCCAGACTGTGATGGAGACGAGGAGAATTTCCAAAGATGGAAGGCTTGAGGAAAAAATTTACAAGGGATAAGAGGTCACACAAAGATTGCAGGGTGCATGGCAGCTATCTGGTAAGGAAGGACACTCGGACCATGAGGAGCCATAGCAGCTTTTCTCTAAGTGTGTAGCATTAGGAAGCTATGTCATATGGGACATTGCAGGAACAGGGTCTACATGATTAGGCAAAAGGAGGCTAAAGCAATGCACAGAGTGGTTGAGGTTTCAAGTTCTGGGTGCCTGGATGGCTTAGGTCTTAACTCAATTGTCCCAGGCACCTTAAACACATTACCAGTTTTACAAAGCAGCAGTATTTCCTGGATGCAGTAATGACAATGCCAGTGCCACGGCAGGCACAGGGTTTTGTAAAATTAAGTGCATGCTTCCTGAACGGCTCACAGTTTAATGTCTAAGAGAAGTGCTTGTGGTCACAGCAGAAAGTCTGAGCGCCTGAAGCAGAATGCATGGTCCTGTCCGCAGGAATAAGACATCAGGGGAAAGAGGTGGAGAAGTAAAACACTGAGTTAAGTTAGGTTAAGTTAAGCTAGGTTAAGTTCATCATGGGACATTTTGGTCACAGGCAGCTGGAAGCCGAACCAGGACGTCAAGGGAAGAGATTTAGACTTGGCAGCCATCCAAAATGAGAGCTTACTTCTCCCTTCTGCCTTATAAAATATACATCAGCCAGCAAGTATAATCAGTACTAAACAGCCAATAACCGGCTCTAGAAACTCAGCCAGAAACCACCGCCCCAAACCAATAGGGTTCTATCAGTTATATGCTGCCTTCCTGCCTTCCTCCTTCCTTTCTTTCAGTCCTTCCTTCTCTCTCTCTCTCTCTCTCTCTCTCTCTCTCTCTCTCTCTCTCTCGTTCTTTTTTCTTCATAAAATTTTCTATATTATCCCTCTGTTGTCAAAAACCAGGAAACATAAAGTTTCTCTTAAAAAATAAGCTAACATCTCAGTGTGTCTTGTTGACTGCAGTCACAGCTAATTGGGAGACCTCAGAAAGCACACAGTGGGAAGTGAGAGACAACATATTCAGAACATAGTAGGAGGTCAGAGTCCAACAGCTCGTCGGTTCAGAAATGAAACACTAAATGAAAAGGTTTCATTTTTCACTAAAAATGAAATCAGTGAATTCATTTTTTAAGTCTGGAGAATTAGTGTATGGAAGTCAATACATTTTTTTAAATGTCAATAAATCAGACATTTATAACTTAACAACCTTAACGAATGAGCACTTTCCCTCTTGGGAGCATCAATTGACCTGTCTTTCTGGGAGCTATAAAAAATAGGTAAGAAAACTCGACATCAAACAGTTCTTTCATTTTCTTCTTCCTGAGTCTCTCTGAAGTTCTCACAGTCAGCAGTCTGGTTGTCACCCACCAGTCTGGGGCTTTCACGAGCGCTGAAAGTGCTCTCCCAAGCCGGATGTGCAGACCGCTTCACCTGCGTGGCATCTCGGTGCTTTCAAAGTCCTGTCTGCTGAGGGGCCATGTAATGTAGTTTAGGGGAAGAGACAGTTCTCTTTCTCCCTCTCCCTTTCCCTCTCTCCCTCCTTCCCTCCCCCCTCCCTGCCCCACCTCTCCTTTTCAAGCATAGATTTGAAGATCTATGACTTCTAACCCTTAACAGTTAGGCACCAAACTGTTGGCAAGCACCTAATACCTTCAGCCTGTTTCCCGAAAAGTAAAATAGGCCATGATTGTGTTCTCATGAAGACTGGACAGACAGTATATGTAAAACAGCCAACCCAGAGCTGAAGACATAGCTCAATGGTTAAGAGTGTAGCCTACCCTACACTCCAGATGAACTGAGTTTGATTCCCAGCGCACCCATGGCAGAAAACAGCTGTCTATAACCACAGTTCTCAGGGATCCAGTGCCGCCTTCTGGTACCCTTGGGCACCAGGCACCCATGGTGCACAGACACACATGCAGACAAAATACATAAAACATTTTTTTTAATTTTTGGAAAAAAAAAGATAGTCAAGATAGTTTAGTGTCATAGGGCACAACTGTAATCCCAACATTTGGGAGGTAGAGGCAGAAGAATTGGGAATTCAAGACCAGCCTCAGCTATACCAGAAATGGAAACCAACTGGGCTATGTGAGACCCTGAGTAGTAGTAGTAGTAGTAACATCATCATCATCATCATCATCATCATCATCATCATAACAATAATAGTGATAGTAATAATTAAACAAATAAAAAAAATCTGCCTTATGAAAGAAGCTTCCTCTCGGCCTCTAATTGTTACAATACGTGTTTGCTAAAGCAGATCAGGGTGTGCTTAACAACCCTCTAATCCCAGTATTCTAGGACTGAGGCTGGAGAATCTGGAGTCCCAGGCTAGCTTTAGCTACATAAATAGACCCTGTCTCAAAGCACCAAGGGCTGGGATATCACCAGTCACTGTAGAACACTTGCTTAGTAAGCCCAAGGCCCAGAGTTTAATACTTTACACTGTGAAGAGGAAAAAGAAAGAAAGGTGGGATTGAGCAGATATTTTTTCTGCAGTTTCTTCTCATCACTATAATATACCCATTTTCCCAAATTTTCAAACTACCACCTTTGAATGACAGTTTTCAAAGCTATGTTCTTCAAGACATTATCTGTTCCCAACTTCTGCCTCCACTGCGGGTCTTTCTTTGTGCCATGCAGACAGCTGGAGCTTGCATCAGGACCGTTCCTGGCTCCTGACAGTGATGCTGAGGGCTGCCCCCTCCTTGCTGCCCTCAATCCCATTTGGATTTGTGAGTTCATTCATAAATGAGCACAGCCCTCCAGAGGGTGAATTGAGACCTAAGTATGCTGATAATCTCTCTCAAGTCTGCAGTAGCTTTCAGCTTCTCTCCTTGGCATCTCAACTGTGCTATACTTATTATTCCTTTAAATGCAGGCTCTAAC